GAGGGAGGAGAAAACCCATTTGACTTATATTGCTTTGACTTGACATCAATGTCTTATTCAGCTGAGGGGTCTGTGACATTAAACAGGTCCTTAAAGAACTCCCTCCCTTGTACACAGACTCTGCTCCAGTGTAGGGCCAGTTGTATGCCACAGGGGCTTATCCTTTTGCCCACGGTTTGCTGCACACATAGTATGAGCGAACCATGCTCTGCTGCGCACTCACTATCAATAACCCATGGCTTGCTGCACATACTGTGGCATACAAAAAGTGTCCCTACACATTAACAATAACCCCTAGTTTTGCTGTACATACATGCCCCCTGTAGCATACAAAAACTGCCCCTACACTGTACCAACAACCCATGGTTTGCTGCACACACACACACAATGAATAACAGTACACTCTTCTCTCTTGTGGCATTGCAAAGGAGGACTCAAAAGGACTCAACGGACTCAGAGGAGGAGGAGGTGCTTTCGATCACTATACCCTTCCCTTCCTTTTGCCAAGTGCCCATCGCGCATCTAGTCAAGTTAGACTGGCCTATACTTCCGAGGCCTAAACTTGTTCTATACCGCCAAGCTTATGGAGCGCGATAACCACAAGGGGCTTGTTGCCGCCCTTGTTGTTGGAACCCTTGTGGTTACGTCTGGTTCAACTTCACCCGCCGCGGGCCCCTCAAGACAAAGGGCTGGTGTAACCAGACATAACCACAAGGGTTCCCAAACTTAACCACAAAGGGTTCCCAAACATAACCACAAGGGTTGCCAACCCTAACCACAAGGGTTCCCAACCCTAACCACAAGGGTTGCGACGAGTGCTTCGGCAAATAGCTCTCGTATCGAAGGCCAGTGCATGGTGCCCATACATCGACTGCGGGCCCTTCACGTTAACGCGCCTAGCTTTAAGAGGGGGGCCGTAGGCTGGTGAAAAAACTCATCGATGGCCTTTGTCATGTTGACGGCCTCCGAAAGCCGTGCGGCGAGGAGCCCGCGGCCGATGTATGGGAGGAGAGGAAGGAGAGAGCTCGATGGGCCGAGGACTGTTCGTTCAAATATATTTGACTGGTAAGAAGAGGAAGGAGAGAGCTCGATGCCACTTGTCCGTCGTAAGGAGGCCATGGGAGGAGAGAGCTTATATCCTCCTTGGAATGAATCTGGTCGTTGCCGAAGCACAGGTACACAGTGGAAAGTCCTACCTTGAAATGAATTCCCGGCGCTTGGAATGAATTTGGCCGTTGCTCAAGCACAGATCCATAGTGGAAGGTCCTCCCTACGTGCTCTCCTGGAACGATTTCCCCGCGCCATCGTGGTGACACACCTCTTGGCTAACTCATCATACATCTCGAACGAGAATCATCTGTCATTCGGTCATGCGTTGGTTATTAACTTATTAATCTCTTTTAACACGGGCATAATATACAAAGTGTTGGTTATTAATCTTTTAACACGAGCATCTCAAAGTGATGCACAAACACTGCATCTCTTAGAAGGGGCCACAACTCCATCACATTGGTTTCGGCGGCGGAAGACGAGCATTGCACCTCCAAGACTGTCTTTGTGCATCGCTTCGTGATGCTCATGTTAAAAGAGATTAATAACCAGCGCTTTGTGGTGCACTTGTTAAAAGATCAATAACCAACGCTTTGTGATGATCGTGTTAAAAAGATTAATAGCCAGCGCTTTGTGATGCTCGTGTTACAAGATTCATAACCAATGCATGACCAAAGCAATGCACAGAGAAAGTCCTGGAGGTGCCACAACTTTGTTGCATGGCTCGACAGAGTCGACACTGTTTGTCCTTCTTCATTAAAAAATAAAAATCCATCCACTGCTCTCGTGGCCTGAGAACGCAGTTTCAAATTAGTCTATCACTAGGATTTGCTCTCCAGTGTTAAAAAAAAAAAAAAAAAAAAAAAAGTCAATAAACAGTCTACCACTAGGAGAATCCGAGCACCCAAAAACAAAAAAAAAAAAAGGCCTACATGTCAACAACTATAACAGCAAGAGAAGAAAACTAGAAGAAGACGCCGCCGCCGAAGAGGAAGAAGAGGAAGAGGAAGAGGAAGAGGAGGAACAGGAAGAAGAAGAAGAAGAAGAAGAAGAGGAAGAAGAAGAGGAAGAAGAGGAGGAAGAGGAAGAGGAGGTAGAGGAGGAGGAAGAAGAAGAAGAAGAAGAAGAAGAAGAAGAAGAAGAAGAAGACACCACTTCACTCACGACGTCCTCGTTCGTAGTAGAAGAAAGGAAGAAGTTCACCGCCGCCGGCATCGCCGTCTCGAGCCAAGGCAGAGCTGCTCAGAGTCTCCCCATTCTCATGTGTAACGTCTTTTTCAGGCTTGCCGGTGACGAGCAACCGGACTGTTGGCCCCCCCAGAATAGAAGGGGCGGGGGAGTGTTTTGGGTTGAAGAAAAAGAGAAGAAGAGGAAGAAGAGGCAGCAGCAGGAGGAGGAGGAGGAGGAGGAGGAGGAGGAGGAGGAGGGAAGGGGAAGGAGGGGGAGGAGGAGAAGAAGTAGGAAGTGGAGGATATTTATTATTTACCTTCTCTGGGGCAGAGCTGGAAACTATCATCATTGGAAAAAAAGAAGGAAACAAAAATAAAAACTCTCATCATTATGCTGCTGAGCCAATACATGTTCTTTGTTCTGCTGTTCTTCTTGTCGTTTTTTTGTGCCCAAAACTTTCCTTTTTTGTTTTCTTATTGAACAACCCACATTTTTCTTCTCGTTTCCCTATTGCACAAACAAGATGAGAATTTCAGAAAGAAGGAAGAAGACGACGATAACTTCGGAGAAGGTAATGCACCATGGAGGTAACTCACGTCTGGCGGTCCTGTGACTATACCTGTGACTATTCCTCTGACTATACCTGTCCACGAGGCGCCTATCAGGCTGCAGACTCATGTACCCGCTTTTGAAAACCATGACCAACTCACTATACCTGTGACTATACCTGTGACTATACCTTGTGACTATACCTGTGACTATACCTGGAGCCCTGGAGCCTAGCACTCTTTTCGCCAGAACCATCCAACGATCAGGATGTCTTCTGTACATCTGCATACTGCATAAACCTTTTTCTTTTTTTTTTAGCATACTGCAAGAACTGCCTGCATCCCTGTTCTGTTTCTTTGACACGAGTTTCCCTTTTTTTTCGGGAGGGGGGGGGGGGAGTCTACGAATGCTCTTCACCTCCGTCTGAAAGTACGGCGCACTGCGTACTCTTCCCTTCCTCAGGTTCTCCACCAGGACGGTTACGCTCTCGCTTTGGCACTTGTCCGTCGTAAGAAGGCCACAGGAGGAGAGAGCTTATATCCTCCTTGGAAAGAATCTGGTCGTAGCTGAAGCACAGATACACAGTGGAAAGTCCTACCTTGTCCACCAGGACGGTTAACCTCTCGCTTTGGCACTGAGTAATGATGGATTCTCCCACACTGCAAAATCGTCACCTGAGATGGCTACCTCCCACCCTGCGCCTGCAAGTACAACAGCAAGGGAGGCCGAGAGAGAGAGAGAGAGAGAGAGAGAGAGAGAGAGAGAGAGAGAGAGAGAGAGAGAGAGAGAGAGAGAGAGAGAGAGAGAGAGAGAGAGA